AGCTCAGACTTCAGAAATCCTCAAATGGTTTGTGTTACATACCAGTGATGGTTCCAAATTCGAAGTGCAAGGAGAAGGCAAATTCTTCGCTAATCCCTTAAAGAAATGTGTGCACCAACTAAGTATGAATAGAGAAAAATATAACTAAATTTACAAGATGAAGATAAAAGGTTGTGGAAGAGAAAAAGGAAGAATTTCAGAAAAAATCAAAAACTTACATGGGTTGTCACCACATCATGGAAAAAAGCTCGGATGTGGTCCTCTCCAGCTATGTCCTTTCTGTAGTGAATAATACAATAGCAATCAATTAAAAAATTTTACAAGAAAAAAAAAGGGGCGGGATTGCACCTCATAGTAAGTAAATTATTACCTTACTTCCTCTTCATCTAAATAACACTTCCATATTGTGGCCTTATCCAATCTACTTCTTCAACCAATTACCATTTCTGTAATCTTCATAGATAGAGTTGTTAAAAAGTGGATTGATCAAAATGTATTGTGCATCTCCACTAAGTAAGCTTGATGGATCTGAACCCTCTAAATTAGGGTGATAAAATCCCATTATTTGTTCTATGATGCATGCTTACACTGACATAAGGCTGGCAGACATATGTTCAAATCCTTAAAATAATGGATGTAAATGGATACATCACTAAAAGGTTAAATAAGTTGCAGGGTATTATGAAACACAAAGGATATACTAATCAAGTTAGGAAACAATTAACTTTTAGTGTTTTATCTATTTAACAAATATTGTGATTAGGTATTAATGGTTGCTAATTCAACTGCTTAAAAGTCTGGCTAGTAAAGTTGTATTCCAAGTTCTTCCATCATGATTTTATGGAGGACTTATTATTATATATTTTTAGTATTTGAAGGAACTCGTCCTTGATGCTAGAGCACATGATGTGGGTGGAATAGTTCTAACATAGAGATATGGGGCTGGTGTGTCTATGCCTTTCTGGTGCTTCCTACTTAACAGCGTATGCTTGCATGACCGCCCAAATCCCGTGCATCTGGACCAGCCAAGGAAACCAAAGCCTAAAATTTTCTGGTCTATAACAGCAGAAAGGCTGCTCTAGCTTCCTAGATGCAAAACATTGTTCTTACAGTATGGATCCTGATCTTCTGATGAGTCGTAGAACAAATTAACAAAGATATAACAGGAAATTTATTTCAAATTAAGACTATTGAGATTGAAGCATGCTAGATCCACTTCCTTCAGGTTAGCAGACAAGTTAAGGTTTAACTTAGATAGATGAAAACAGCAAGCTGAAAACGTGACTTTAAATTTCTTAATGTTGGGACATCCAATACAGTTGAGGGTCTACAACTTCTCTTGAACTTTTCATTTTTTTCTCTGATTTCTTACGAGTCATAATAAATCCATAAATGCCATGACAATTTGAAGCCTAAAATGTTAATAGGAAATAGCAGATGCAAGTAGTTCTTTTTTGAGCTCAGATATGATAAATCCCAGAAAATTACCTTTACTGATAAGTACTTTCTCCACCTTTCGCTACGTTGCAATGAAGCAGGAATTAGCTGATTCATCCACAAATAAAGCAACTTTAGGGGAAAAGTTTTTCATGAACATGTGTGCAAGTGGTATAAGATGCAAAACTACAGCACTTAAAAATATGCATAAGGACAAAAAGATTAAACAAACAAGAGGAGGATAACATTAAAACTTAAGAAAAGATACTTCTAGTAAACACCCATATTTGCACCCTCTAACACAAGAGTGCATGTTAGCATAAGATTATTGTCCAATATTTTGTGCAGTGAAAGTTCAAGTTAGCTTGTCAGATCTAGCATGTGATTTGGTCTGAATATTTTTTGCTGCTCAATATTATATAGATCGAGATTGGATCAATTCACTAAAAATCAAGTTCGTTTTGTATTAATGAGCACTCTCAGCATAATGTTTGTTCTTGGAAATGATTCAATTTAAACTTACTTTCTAGTTTCTCAAGGAACTTCATGAATAACAATATCTTAGGAATTATTTTCATATATGCATGCATTGATAAAGCATGTTCAATATTTTCAGAATGATTAATAATTTCAAAAATTTCCATGTTATAAAAGAAAACTTGTAGAATAAAGTAAATTACAAACAAAGCATTAAACTTGTAGAATAAAGTAAATTACAAACAAAGCATTTATCCAAAATGTTGATGATTTGTTATTCATTTCATAGAAATTAATATGGGTAAGTAAAGCATTTATCCAAAATGTTGATGATTTGTTATTCATTTCATAGAAATTAATATGGGTAAGTTGGAAATTATTTTCATATTTTAGAGCTTACAGTATTTTCGAGTACGGGAGAATCCGCTCTAAACCAGGTTTCCTGCCTCTTTGATTGACAATGGATATAGAACGAATTTATGAACAAGCCTCTTGATGTTGAGTTCCCAACTTCTGGAAGTGCAGCCAGAAACTCATTTCTAAATCCTACAATGGCAGAGTAATTCTCATCACGAATCGGTTATAGAAGCTACATGTCAAAACCTGAGTAATTCAGTTGTAGTAACTTAATGCACCTTGCATCATTTCAAGCTGAGATGAGGAACAATTCTCTATACCAAGCTTGCAGGCATGCCAACTACCTTGAGGATCAGCAACACCAGGTGCTAAAATGTTCTTTATCTGCAGGAAAAGGAGCTTATTTTATCGGAAAATTTGATGTAGGAAGTCAATAGTAGTTAAGTTCGATACATCAAACACTAACTGTCTAGTATTTACATAAGAGGAAAAAATATCATCCAAAGCTTAAACTAAAATTCCTACTTTGCAGAAAAACAACTTGACAGCATTATATTTATTTGATTCTGTGGAAGCAAATTTTCCAGTGAAAAGAATTTACACCTGCCATGAGTCATAAGCTGCATTTAGAATGAATAGAGGTGTTTGGATCAGACGTGCAGTATATTGCGGGAAAAAGCACTGTAATTTCATCAGATCATATTGTTAGGAAAAGAATTGTAATTAAGCTCAGACTTCAGAAATCCTCAAATGGTTTGTGTTACATACCAGTGATGGTTCCAAATTCAAAGTGCATGGAGAAGGCAAATTCTTCGTTGATCCCTTAAAGAAATGTGTGCACCAACTAAGTATGAATAGAGAAAAATATAACTAAATTTACAAGATGAAGATAAAAGGTTGTGGAAGAGAAAGTGGAAGAATTTCAGAAAAAATCAAAAACTTACATGGGTTGTCACCACATCATGGAAAAAAGCTCGGATGTGGTCCTCTCCAGCTATGTCCTTTCTGTAGTGAATAATACAATAGCAATCAATTAAAAAAACTTACAAGAAAAAAAAAGGTGGGGGGGGCTCATAGTAAGTAAATTATTACCTTACTTCCTCTTCATCTAAATAACACTTCCTTATTGTGGCCTTATCCAATCTACTTCTTCAACCAATTACCATTTCTGTAATCTTCGTAAATAGAGTTGTTAAAAAGTGGATTGATCAGAATGTATTGTGCATCTCCACTAAGTAAGCTTGATGGATCTGAACCCTCTAAATTAGGGTGATAAAATCCCATTATTTGTTCTATGATGCATGCTTACACTGACATAAGGCTGGCAGACATATGTTCAAATCCTTAAAATAATGGATGTAAATGGATACATCACTAAAAGGTTAAATAAGTTGCAGGGTATTATGAAACACAAAGGATATACTAATCAAGTTAGGAAACAATTAACTTTTAGTGTTTTATCTATTTAACAAATATAGTGATTAGGTATTAATGGTTGCTAATTCAACTGCTTAAAAGTCTAGCAAGTAAAGTTGTATTCCAAGTTCTTCCATCATGATTTTATGGAGGACTTATTATTATATATTTTCAGTATTTGAAGGAACTCGTCCTTGATGCTAGAGCACATGATGTGGGTGGAATAGTTCTAACATAGAGATATGGGCTTGGTGTGTGCTTGCATGACCGCCCAAATCCCGTGCATCTGGACCAGCCAAGGAAACCAAAGCCTAAAATTTTCTGGTCTATAACAGCAGAAAGGCTGCTCTAGCTTCCTAGATGCAAAACATTGTTCTTACAGTATGGATCCTGATCTTCTGATGAGTCGTAGGAAGATGCAGGACACAATGTAAGTGTAGTGAATGAAAAGTTATGCATCAGTTGTTTTACATTTGCTTTTATTGGCAAACAGAAGATTTCTTCTCATAGAATATCAATTTGTTCTATCTTGAGCTGCCTCGTGCCCATTTCCAGTAAATAAATTATCCTCTGTTTGTGGAACATATAAACTGTTAGTTGTCTACAGAACCTTCTGGTTCTCCTTGAGCATGCACTTGTGGAACCTAGATGGTCCTACGCATTTATTAGTGAGCATAGAGCATAAAAGTTATCCTCTAAAAAGTTAGAGGATAGGTTTATATGTTAAGTTTTAATTGGTTTTACCAATCACAGTGTAGCTCACTCCTAATAAACTATCCTCTTTTTAAGCATAATGGAAATTTTAAAGCAACACTTCAATTATTAATTAAGGAAGCAAAAGATGACAGATGAAATACCTGGATCTGACCACATGATAATGGAAATGGAGGCAGCCAAAGGGAAGGGAAGCTCAAGAGCTCGAGATGGATTGATCAGAGACATGGGCATCTGTGGAAGAACCAAGCTGGGCTTTTTGCAGCCCATAGTTCTGAAGCTCCTCTGAGAGCCACAAGTGAACGTTTTTGAGATAGAGGAAGCGGGCGAGGGTGAGGCCATAGATAAAGAGGAGAGCATGATTCTTCCTCTTCCTCTGAATCACCCAGTAAAATTCTAGATCTTCTCTCGCATGGTCGAGTGGCGCGAATCTGACGGTTGGGGTTGCAAACGTCGGAAGAGAACTGTTGGCGGCGGCGGCGAGGGAGGGAACTGGTCGTGTTGAATAAGCGAAAGGGGAATTTTTGTTTTTGACTTTTAGGTTTTTTTATTTATTTAACAAGTTAGGAAACTGAATCATTTTGAACCTCCATGACCGCTGTAGTCTGAGCTACCTGCAGAGGCTTCTCAAGAGCATCGTAAACCTCTCTATAGCTCGATTCCCTCAAAGTCTTGACAGCAAAGTACAACACATGAGCCCTAATCACAAATCCAAAGCAAGTCAATACCAATCAGAACAAAATTCAAAAGAAAATCCCGATCTAGGGTTCGAGAGAGGGTACCAGCCAACGAACATAACCCAATTGTAGACGGACATGTTGATCGTAGATGTGCTTCACAACAGAGAGGAATCGAGCTATAGAGAGGTTTCCTAATTCGCTCACCGATTTTCGCTGCCGACCCTCACAAGATCCATTCATTTTTTCATAATTCCGCTGCCTAGTAGCTGGGCGTCGCTGTGGCGACGACGATGACGAGGGGAGGAGCTGGGCGTCGGATCTGGGGACGATGATGAGGGAAATGGCGGAGGAGGTCGGAGATTAGGGCAATAATAATCATCTTTGGAAATTAAAGGGTTAAGATCGTGTATGAACCGGTGGGCGGAGAGGAAGGCGTAACCGACAGAAATCTTAGGTCTTTGAATTTATGATGATATAGATGAAATCTGTTTAATGATTATAAGGATAAGTTTGGAATATTTAAATTGGTTGAAGGTTAGTTTGGGGAGGGAAAAGTTTTCATGAACTCCCTCTTTTAAAGGGTAGATAGATTATCAATGGCGAAGTGTCTGGCTTCTTCTAATGTTCTAGGGGGACTGTCAAGGACATACATTATCTCTTTTTCTTTTCATCATATTGTCATGGAAGGATTAAGTCTACGTTGCAAAAGCTACACAAATGAAGACCGGGTGGAAGGTTTCCAAATGGGGACAGGCCAAAATGGTGGTGTCATCTCGCATTTATTATACGTAGATGATACTCTTGTTGAAATTGAGAAATCAGATGGTTAAGGAGAATTTTGATATGTTTTCAGGCTGTCTTTGGATTAAATCAGATGGTTAAGGAGAAATCAGATGGTTAAGGAGAATTTATTATACGCAGATGATACTCTTGTTTACAGGAAAAAAAGTGAACTCATTCCTGTAGGGGAGATACCAAATTTAAACAGACAAGCTCTTTTTCCTCGGACGTAGGCTGGAAAGCTTCCCACTATTTATCTCCGATCGTCTCTTGGTGCGAAATATAAATCCTAGGCCGTTTAGGACCAGTCAATCCGAAATTGGAAAGAAAATTGGTAGGTTGGAAGGCCATGTTGTTGTCAAAAGGAAGGAGGCTAACTCTCCTCAAAAGTTCCTTATCTAGCCTTCAAATTATGAATTCGGATCATCTCCACTATCTGAAAGGTAGTGGAGGTAGGGTGGGGGCCACACATTGTCTCTTTTCCGCGTGAGATAGCCTCCTACACCCTACACTTTAGCAGGCCCACCCGAAACATCTTTTGAAGCTCTATATATACTTATTAATCAGTCATCTAGGGTTCGGTGCAAGTGCCAGAAAAAAAAATTTGCAGGCAGTGATGCAGGAAAAGTAGTGCAGGCAGAGGGCTTCATGAGTCTTGCGCCAGCGAACAAGAAGAAAACACAGGGATTTGAGGAGCCGCCGACTTTATTTGGGAGATTTTGTGCAGCTGTTCTTAGAGTTTTGTGCATCCTTTTAAGAGACAGATTGTTTGAGGGTTTAGGTTGAGAGATTAAAAACCCTAGTTTTATTCGCTCCCTCTAATATTAGATCTCTCCCTATCTTGTCCCGTGGACGTTGGCAACTTACCGAACCACGTAAAATTTATTTGTCTTACAGTGTGATTTGTAATAGTTTGTAGGTTCCCTCAACAAGTCAGTCGTAGAACTGATGAGAGGAAGAGATGATATCCCAATAAAGATGATATCCCACTTTACTGGGATATTTTATTTTCGATTCTTGTTTCCTTTGTGAAACGAGAATTTCGTTGTGATCTAATCTCTTGTTGTGCACCTTACGCACCGGTGGTGCTGCCGAAATTTCTGCTGCGCATAACAAGTGGTATCAGAGCTTCAGGTTTGGCTTAAGGCTTGTTCGAATGATTCGGTTAAGGATTCCTATTTGAAGAATTAGATCGACAACATGGGAGAAGCAAGCACATCAGGTTCGTCTCGTACGAAGGCGATACCGAGTCTGAGCATCAATAACATGAAGATTGATGTACCGAAGTTCGACGTCAAGATTAATTTTGGATTGTAGAGGTGTCAGGTGATGGACACATTGGATGCACAGAATTTGGAGGAGACTCTTGAGTTACAAGAGAAACCTGAAAACATGAAGGACAATGTTTAGAAGAAGATGAATAGTATGGCTTGTGGAGTTATTCGGTCATGCTTGATACATGATCTTATTTATGACGTAATGAACGAAACGTTGAAGAAGAGAATGTGGGAAACACTCAATGAGAAGTATCTTACGAAAAGCATTAAGAATCGTTTTCACTTGAAGAAGAGGTTTTACCAATTCAAGATGAAGAGGGGAGTTTCCAACAGGGAGCATATCAACAATTTTACGAAACTATTTTCAGATATAGCCAATGTGGATATCATGGTTGAGGATGAAGACAAGGCGATGTTACTTTTGTATTCGTTGCACGAGGATGATTACGGTACATTCGTTCTCACTATGATCAATTGAAGAACTATTGTTAGCTATAAGGAGGTGACCTCAGCTTTGGTGAATTATTAGTTGAGGAAGAGTGATGGTGAATCCTTTGAGAAGGCATCGGGAGATGCATTAGCAGTTCGGGGCTGTGATCCAAACCGCCACCAGTTCAATCGCTCAAAATTAAAGAATAGAGGTGGCCATAAAAGTATTGGTAGGAATCAATGTCGCTTTTGTAAAGAAAAGGGACATTGAAAGATCGACTGCCCAAAGTTGAAGGACAAAGCCGAGAAGAATAAGGGGAAAGCTGTACAAGCTTCATAAGTGAATGTTACAAAAGCTATTGATGAACATTCAGAGTTAGATTCTTCGGGCTATTCATGTTCTGTACTACCATCAGTTTGCTATGCTGACTCCCCATAGTGGATATTGGATTCAGGAGCCATATATCATATATGCCATAGGAGAGATTGGTTCTCTAGCTTTGAGGAGCTGGAAAGAGGGGATGTCATGCTTATAGGAAATAATCATGTATGCCCTATTGATGGTATTGGTTCAGTCCAGATTAGGATGCATGACGGAGTGGTGAGTGAATTAAAAGAAGTGAGGTTCATGTCACAGTTGACAAAGAACATCATTTCTCTTGGTACTTTGGAGGCAGCTGGTTATTAGGTGACCTTAAAGGATGCTACAGCGAAGGTCACGAAGAGTTCTATGGTGGTGATACGAGGAGTCAGGAAAAACTTCCTATACTACTTGAAAGGCAAGACAGTTATAGGGGGTCTAGCAGCTTCTATCACTACAGAGGAGGACACTACTATATTATGGCACATGAGACTAGGACACACAGGAGATAAGTCCCTGCAGTCATTGGTGAAACAGGGGCTATTGAAAGGTGCTAAGACTTGTAAGATGGAGCTGTATGAGCATTGTGTACTTAGGAAGAAGACTGAGTGAAGTTTGGCACTGCTATTCACAATACCCAAGGTATATTGGATTATATTCACACAAATATTTGGAGGTCTTTCCAAGAACACATCACTTGGTGGGGTCAACTATTTTGTCACTTTCATTGATGACTATTCTAGGAAAAATTAAGTATACCCTATGAAACATAAACATGAGGTCCTGGATATTTTTGTGGAGTGAAAAAAAATAGAGCTACAGACAGGTAGAAAGATGAAGACTATACGTTCAAATAACAGTGGAGAGTATAAGAGCGATCAGTTTCTATACTTTTGTCGTGATCACGATATTAGGTGACACTTCACAGTTCGAAAGACACCACAACAGAACGGGGTGGTAGAGAGATTAAACCGTACATTGTTGGAGAAGGTGCAATGTATAATGACGCAGAGTGGATTGCTAGATCCTTTTGGGCCGAGGCGTTGGTTTATACGAGCTATCTCGTGAATAGGTTGCTGTGCAATGTGATATAAGGGAAGACTCCATTGGAGCGTTTGTTTGGTTCGGTAGCTACTGACTATGAGTCGCTTCGGATATTTAGGTTACCTACTTATTACCATGTCAGTGATGATAAATTGAATTTGAGGGTGAGGAAAACAGTCTTTGTGGGATTTAGAGATGGAGTTAAAAGCTTCAAGTTATGGGATCCACAAGATAAAAAGATAGTTATTAGCAGGGATGACACATTCATCATGAAGCCTCAAGTTCCTCAGTAGGTGGAGGAAGACCAAATTCGGGAGATATCACAGCAAGTGGAGGATGATGTGACTTTACTCACTACAGAGATCATTGTATCTATCGAGGCTCCTACAAAGGTGACACTGGGAGAAGATGAGATGACAGTCGGAAATATAAAGGATATAGTGGATTGTGAGAATCAGGAACAGGGTCATGTTTATGAGTCTATTGTAGTGAATAGACCTAGAAGGGTGATTCATCGGCCAGCTAGGTATAATAATGTCATGGTCACATATGTATTATCAGTGGAGATCGTTGATAATATGGTTTCATCCATATTCAGTGAGGCAGAGTCTAGCCTCGATTTGATCAGGTGGAGGGAAGCTATGGAGGAGGAGATGCGATCTCTTCAGAAGAACGACACTTGGGAACTTGCAAAACTAC